GCCTTTCCCATTTTGCCAGTACAACTATTTACCTACAAATAAAGGAAAACCAAAAGTAATGAAGTGATTATCAAGCCATGTTATATGGACATCATTCTTATAAAAAGGAATAATAACTACATTTTGCAAGTGTAGCATGTTGTCCTCTAAACTCAAAAGAACATCAAGTTGTGGAAGCAACATAGAGCAAAAAGAAATGATGACTGTCATAGACAAAAAGGTGGCTTTCAATATGTAGCCTCAAACCAAGATTTAAACTGAGTTTATTTATGCACATTTGACATTTGAGCTGTAATAATCACATTTACTATACAGCTAAGAGATTAAGCACCAATTACTACAATTCCTAGGTAAGTTTGGTAACATCCTACCCTTAAGAAGACAAGTTTACCTACTCCCTGTTGTCAGAATCCAAGAAACCAGTACCAGCAACAATACAGAATTTAATAACCTTGATGTATTTCCTAGCCCCATACCTAGAGGGAATGCTCAAATTAACATAACTCGGAAAAGTGGAATAGTGATTGCAAATAAGTTATCCCTGAAGTAGCTATCTGTGTTGTATGGTTAAAGTTTTGTTGATTGAATAATGCACACAAGATAAAAAAAATATGTCTATAGAAAACAAGATGCTTTGTTTGCCATTTATCAGTTTAGAGCTTTGAGGGAAAAAAATTCATGAATTAGTTCCACTGACAATGTTCTCCATCTAAACTTATAGACAAATCAATCCAATTCAAGCACATTGCATTGAAAATTTTCTTCTTGAACAAAAAGGAAGATGGTACCATGATTGGGATGGCGAGGTCCAGTGAAGTTGATTTCTGGTTATGTTGAATGGCTGTGGTAGACATGGATAACGACATTGCAACTGGAACCCAACGAAAAGCTGCTTTCTTTGCAGCAATACCTTGTGTTCTTTTGCCTCTTGATAACAATGGTAACTTCTCAGAACGAAAACCATTGGCAGAGACTCTAAGCAGAGAAGCCATTTTGACTGCCAAAATAAACAACTAACTAAATAAATAAAAACCTTCATGTCAAAGCTCGATTACAAGCATCTCACAGTTAGAAATTCCACTAGATAAGTTAGTGAAGTATCTTAACTAAGAAGGAGGATTTAAGGTTTAAGATATTTAAAATGAACATTCAACATTAATAGAACCAGTTAAAATTACCAAAATTTAAAATTAATTATAATTCAAGAATTTAAGTTGAAATGAACAGAATAGCAGAATATAAATGAAAATGCAAGGATTTCTACCAAAAAAAAAAAGAGCCCAAACAAAAACGTAAAGAGCTAATGCTGTACGAAAAGCAAGCACTGAGCAGGAGCAAGAGAAATAGTGACGAACTGGAACGCTGATGAAGAAGGGCGGACAGGCAGAACGGATGTGGCGGTGGCGGCCCCCGGGAAAAAGATAGAGGCAGTTACTATGAAGAAGAGAGAATGTGAGAAAACGCAGTTCGTTCGGAGTTAGACAGATGAAGAAGGGCCGCCGGGCAGAACGAATGTGGCGGTGACTAGATGGAGGCAGTAGAGAGAATGTGAGAAAACCCAATTTGTTTGAAGTTAGACATTATACTTTTCATCGTTTGTCTTTATAATTTTGTTTGTCCAATAAAACCCCCGTGACAATTGAATATTAACAAATGGCTTTTCAGACTCATCAAATGCATAAAAAATAAAATGTATTGATTGTTTTATATACACACTAAAATCTTTATGAATTAATATTTTATAAATTAATAATTTTAATTAAACAATATTTTTAATTGATTCCAACTTAAGATCAAAGTGATAAATTAATAATTTTACTAAATTTATAAAATAATATATTTAAATAAAACACATAAATCTCACTGTAGATAAATTAATAATCTTCTTATATATCAAAATTATATATACATGACTCAATTAAAAAGTATTTATAAAATACGACTCTAATATTATTTATTTCCTCTTTATGATGTGATCAAATTATACAATTAATTTATATACTTTGTCAAAATGGTGAATTTAGTCATTGTATAATAAAATTGAGTTTTATATGTTTCAAAATTAAAAACATCAATTCAGCTATTGACAATGTTAATTTTTTTTTATTATACTATTAAAATAGCATTTGATTGTGTTAACATGACATTTTTAACTAATGTGAATTAAATTTGAATATATGATTATGTGTTAATGATCATATGGCATTTTCACGAATGATGCAATGATAATGTCGATATAACTTGACAAAATACTAACATGAATTTTATTCGTATTGACATGGAATTATCGAATGTAAGGTTGTCATGTAAAATTTATTACTATCAAATGGAAATAAGGCCTAAACAACCTAAGCACGTCTTAAACATAAAACTTATTAAGATTTTTTAATCATCTTAACAAGATAGTATTTTGTTAAGTTAGATTTTTTTTTTTTGCCATTTGATAATAATAAATTTCACATGGTAACTTCATATTGGATAATTCCATATTAGCACTTATAAATTTTATATTAATACTTGGTCACACTATGTTAGCACTATCATTGTATTAGTTGTGAAAATGTCAAAACATTATTATGATGTCATTAGATTCAACATCATATCAATAAAAGAATATCACACCAATATAACTAAACACCATGTCAATATAAATAACAGAAAAATTTTAACATTGTTAATGATTGGATAAATATTATAAATTTTAAAAAATAAAAGACTTAATTTTACAAATTATTATACAAATATTAAATTGACTACTTTGACAGAGTATATGGACTAATTGCAGAATTTAATCATATAATACTTATATCAAATGTAGAATGGCATAATTTGCTACAATTTCTTTTTGAAAATTTTTTATTTTTAAGCAATCCCTTGGTAAAGAGCTAATAATTTAAAATTATCTCTTTTATCAAGAATAGCAAATAATAAATGCCATGAGTAATCACAACCTAAATTATTCTTTATCATTGGAGGAAAAACCTTTGTGAAGGATGCTGCCACAAAAGATTATTTGCTTTGCCGAGGAGAAACCAAAGGCGACCACAACCCCAACCCAACGCGCCACATGGCATTGCTTGAGGATGCAAAGATTGGCTTTGCTCCCAACTCTCTCTCCCTAATTCCATTCACTCGTTTTTCCTTATCATCCAAGCCACCTAATTAAATTAGTAACACTCTCTTTATTTAATAGAGGGTAGACAAGATTAATAACAAGCTCTAAAAAATAAAATTCCCTTCATTTTCTCTCTCACGCCCAACTCCCAACAACTCTCTCTCAGTCAAGATTTGTTCTCTCAGTGACACAACTGAACAAAAGGAAAAGCTAATGGCGGAAGAGAAAGAATCAACGTCGATTCCACTGAGCCAAGCCGAAAATGGTGGTGTTGATCCCGAAGATCCGGCTAAGTCTCCACCTAGCTCCCCCAATTCATCCACTCGCAAGGTCTATTTTTCCCTTTTTACCCTTTTCTTGATCTGCTTTTAAATTGAACTCTTGACTTCCCAAGCCATGGATCCGTTCCATCAAGTTTTGAAATCTTTTTTCTTGGACTTATCTTAAAATTTAATACTTTAAATGTAATTTTAACTGAAGATTTGAAGGTGATGTACTTTGTGACTAACGAAAGATTGAGTGCGAGAGAGGAAAACCACAGTGGATTTGAAATGTAGGAAGTGAAAATGGTCAAATACCACTCAAGATTTGTCATAATCTCTTCTTTACTATGTTTATTTGCTGTGAACCGGTTGAATTCCAAGTTATAGCCACACAATTTTTATTGTTGTTGAATGTCTCCGCCGTGGTTTGACTCGTGTTTAAACGAGGGGAAATCATGTTTCCTTGATGATGTTTTGGTATATTGAGTATGGAAAACTAATTAACAGCGATGTGTTAGGATGATAATATTGTTTCACGTTTTAGAATTTGAAGGACCCTGTGCAATGGATTGGACCGTGGATATGGACTTACCCTATTGGTGCTTCCAAGATAAATTTTGTGCTTATATATTTTATGATTATATCATTTGGCATTTCTATGTCAGCCATAAAATAATTTATGGAAATTCAAGCACTCTAATTTTCAAGAATAATTTTTAAGTCATTGTACAAAGGACTCAAGGTTTGAGTACTTTATTGGTATTATAATAATATTGTTTGAACCCCAAAAAAATGTGCTAGCTTCAATGAACTCTTGGAAAGTATGGAAGCAATGAGAGTGTTTTTTTGCTATCATTATTTTTTAAAATCTTATTTTTGTGATGTTAATGAAAAACTTTATCTTCAAGTCTGACATTCTGTTTAAATAATTGTTCAGGCTTGTTGTTTTGTTCTCCAGAGTTGGGTCTCGAAGAAGTTCATGACTGGATGGTATAAAGCTTTAATATTTCCCAAAATGTTTTCAGTGCTTGGTTGTTTCTTGTGATATTTCAAGGCTAACAATGTTTTGACATGCAAAATTGCAGTGTGGTCCTTTTTCCTGTGGCAGTTACATTTTTCATTACATGGTGGTTTATTCAGTTTGTTGATGGTTTCTTCAGTCCGTTATATGAACAACTTGGTATTGACATATTTGGTATGTTTAACTGTTCAACTCATGGCTTCAATGTTTGTAGAGTATTCAAGTATGGCTAAGTTTGTAGGTTCTTGCCTCCTATCATCATTTTAAAATATAGTAAGTATGCTTTACTATAGTCAAATCCCAAAATTTCTGCATAATTTTAAAATATATGTTTATTGCAAAAAAGAAAACTGCAAATAATCATATGAAGTTCTATAAAGAAATTCAAAGAAGGATAGAACTCAAGATCACTATTGAGGTTTTTAACTCCACAGCGATTAAGAGTGCTACTAGAAGTTGTAGGCTGAGGATTTTAAAAATGAGATCTTTTTCCTTTTTCTAAATATCATAAGAACCATTTATGATTTGTCTCATATTTTAGGTTGTAAATTTTCTGAATCAATTTGGAATGATTGTTATATGTTACATGTCAAAACTCACTGCTTCATCAAACAACACTCTTCTTTCTTTTCATTCTTGCATTTTATGCAAATCTCTTAAGTGATTTTTATGCTCGGAGCAATGATTGTCTGAGCTGTGATGACTATGTGCAGGACTGGGATTTATCACTTCTCTGCTTTTTGTCTTCTTTATTGGTGTGTTTGTTTCATCATGGATGGGAGCTGCTGTTTTCTCAGTGGGAGAATGGGTTATAAAGCGAATGCCCTTTGTCAGGCATATATACTCAGCCTCAAAACAAATTAGTGCTGCAATATCTCCAGGTTTTACCTAATTAACTACTCTGATTATCTGATTTTTGTCATAAATTTAGTTCAATAAATGATTTGCATCTGCATAAGTACTTTCACACATTTTCGTGAGCCATGATTGTGAATGCATGTACTGTTATAGTTGGTACTTTCACTCATCCGCGTAAGTACTCTGCTTATTTGAAAGCAGGCCACTGTGTTAATACACTGTTATAGTTTGTATTTTCACACATCCGCATAAGTACTCTGCTTTATTGGCTTGAAAGCAGGCCACTGTGTTAATATACTGTTATATTTTTGTTAGAATAGCATTCAGAATGCATTCATAATTTGTTGTCACAACTTGTATGATGTTTGGGGCTGTTTAAAGTTTTGTTAGAAGAGCATTCACAATGTTTTCATAATTTGTTGCCACAACTTGTATGAGTGGCTGACTTCAATTAATGCTTGTGCCTGTATTATATTCTGTGACTATATTCATGCCGCTTCTGAATTTGGCAGTTCAAGGGTACATACACTATTCTTATCCTTCAAAAAAACATTTACAATATGGTTATATCACTTCAAAGCTTTGCAACTCTATAATTTTGCTTCAAACATACAATGATATCATCTTTGTCCCTGTAGATCAAAATACAACAGCATTTAAGGAGGTGGCTATCATTCGTCATCCTCGTGTTGGCGAATATGCATTTGGCTTTATTACATCCACTGTTATTCTTCAGGTACTATTTTAATATTTTTCTCCTTTTTTTTCTAACATACACTGCTTTTCCGTTAATTCCATTTCTGCGTCTCACTTGATCTTGGATTATTCAAAGGGCATTTAAAATGTGTAGTTGCCTCTTATATGGCTTACTGATTGATTAAACGAACAAAGAATATGATTAAGGATTTTCTTTGGGTACATAAGACTTCATATGCTCTGTGAAACAAATTGGCATGGAAAAAAAGGTCTCTTGGGTAACCACCCACAAGCATTTCTTATGTTGTCTTAGGTTATGGAATGCTCTATGGGAATGACCTTTGATGATATGATCCTCATCTGTCCACATTAGTTGAAGATATCATTTTCTCTAGCTGGTGCTCGGAATTTTGGAACAAAGGCATAATGTGTGATAGCTTGCTTATCTCTTAAATGATCTTTTCTGAAGGAGATTTGTCATATGATTTTCAAAGATATTTATCTCCCTGAAAACAGCTTCTAATATTTTATTAACAAATTTAAAACTTGAAAGTGTTAGAGATGACAAATCCTCATTTACTTTATTGGGTTTGCTTAGAATATGATAGGTTTGTCAGCGTTCCTATTTGGTCATAGTGGAGCTGTTTTTATCAAAGTGCTGCCACATTGGTTGACATTTATCACACTTGGAAAACCTTAAATCTTCATTGTCAATCCAAAATCTCTACAGCTGTATAAATAAATGCACTACATTTTATAACCGAAACGTATAGTGATTTATAACCTTTACATTGTCATTGTCTTTAATAAAATATGGTTGAGACATCATCATATTTTTTGAAGGCAACCTTTGTGTAAGAGAGAAGTGCAGAGCCACAACCGTAGGGAGAGAGTCCATGAACCTCAATTTCTCTTATGTAGAATTTAAGCTTCTGTGGTGTGTGTGGGTGGATGGGAGGGTTTATGTGTGTGTATGTGTGTTAATGGGTGGGTGGGTGTGTGTGTTCAATTACTTAAAAAATATAAGAAGCATTCCCTATTGTGATTATGCATAAATTCCAGCACAATCTGCAAGCCTAGTGAAGATTCTTCGTCCCTTTCTATATTGGTGGCTGATGATTTAGTTTGTTCTGTGATATGCTTCGCTGAAATTAAGAGAGACACACAGTTTCCATTTCATGGATGTTTATCCTAACTCTTACTGGGATGATTATACTATGCCACTTATTCTATGAGATCCGATATGAATGAATTCTGCTTCTCTTGGTTATGGTTTTTGAGTCACGTAATAGCAAAATGCTCCTTTCTGGAGTGTCTTCTTTTTCCCAACAAGTTCCTCAGTGATTTTGCTTGTTGATTGTGTATTGTAGAGAGAAAACGAAGATGAAGAGCTATGCAGTGTTTTTGTCCCAACAAACCATCTATACATTGGTGATATCTTCCTGGTGAACTCCAAAGAGATCATAAGGCCAAATCTCTCGATTCGAGAAGGCATAGGTATTTTTTTCTATTTCTCTGAGGAATTCCTTATCTTGTCATCATGGTCTTTCTCTACGCTTACTAAAGAATGCCAGTACTAGAAAATTAAGTAAGAATGGTGTTTATATCTTCCAACAATAATTCTTCTTATTCTTGCTATCTTTGGATATGCTTCTTGGTTTCTGATGTTTGTACATGTCAGAAAGAGATTAACTATAGAAAAGGATTTGTATAGTTGAACGATATGGTTTAGATTAAGGCTCAGTTGAATTCATGGGAAAAGGAGTCCCCGTGATTGGGGAGAAAGGGAACAAGAGTTTAGGTTTTGTATACTGGTTGTGCACTTCATTTCTAACCATATGTTTTCTTTGTTCTTATTTATTTGGTCATAATGCAGAGATAATTGTTTCTGGAGGTATGACGATGCCACAAATAATCTCTCCTCAAGAAAGGGTTGCCCGGCAGAACGAAAGAATTCCATTGAACAGAATAATGTAAGACGTACGGGAGAGACGCCAGGTAGCTGTATAAGTACTTTCCCTGAGTTGGGTTGAAGCGTGAAAAAATTCTTTGGCATCAGCAACCTTGGATGAGGTTGGTTGCATATACAATCATTTTTCTGCACTTGTCTAATTACATAAATAGTAGCTTTGCCTGTCACCTCTGTTTGGTAGTGTAATTTTCTTACTACATCAATGTTATAAACAATGTTATACTATGATTTTATTAAAAGTCAACACTCATGACAGAGAATGTATATTTTAATATTGGATCTCTCCCACTCTCTCTCTCAATTTTTTTGCATTTCTTTTGTGGCAAAGACTCGAAGAAAAATAACATAGTAGCTTTGGTTCTCACCTCTCTCTCTCTTTCATTGATAACTGTGGGTTAAGTATCAACAGAAAATCTCGCAAGCTATACTAGTTCTACCTGACGAGAAGAAAAATCTAGAGCTGCCTACTTCTAGACACTAATATTTGCTCAATTAAAATGAACGTCCACAAGACGGTTAGGCCATTGGAGTTGGACAAAATAAAGTATCGTAATCGGTCTGGATTAAGTCCAATCTGGTTTAGAAACAGGCCCAGCTGGTAGCTGTGGCGAGCAACTTGACGCATAAAAAGTTTACACTTTTTTATATTTATTTAAGAAGAGATTTATAATTTTTTATGATAAATTTGACATTTTATTGTTGGTATATAAATAATATATATTTATTTAATAGATCAATTTTCACTTCAGCCATCTCTTCAAATATCTTTATATACATAAATCCAATTAAAAAAACCATCAATTAAATGAATCATGCATGTAAAAATTATGAGTCGAAATTAAAGCGATAAATTTCAAATATATAAATTGAAATTTTAATTTTAATTTGTTATAAATGAAAATTATATATTTGTCTTTATATATATATTTACAAAGGTTTTACTTTATTTTATTAATTAGGTTGGTGATTTTTTACCAATTCATTTGTTACTTTTTTATGAAAGAAAAAACATAATCGAGAATATTACAATGATTTTATTGTATATTTTTATTATTGAATGGATTATCAAAATTTTATATGTATCGTACGATTAATGAAGAATTATCACGTAACTGAAGAGTGAGTATGCATTTTACCATTACATTGCTGTTGATGATGAAAGGCAAGAGCATTATCTCGTCCAGTCCACATACCTGGGCCAATGGGAATCACTCGATGCTTGTTTCTCTTCCATCTAACTTCAAACTACTTGGCATATTCTCTTTATAACCCACGGACTTTATTAAAATTGCACCCCAGTCCCTTTCCCAGATTTCGAGGGCCAAATTAAACCAAACCCGCAAACCTTCAGTCGAAATTCGAAACCCCAACAAAACCCTAACTTCCCGAACCCTAACCCCGCGAATCATTTCTTAAAGGCTCCAAATTCAAATACCTTGAAGAAGAAGAAGAAGAGTTGACATCTTCGAATTTTCAATGGATTTCGACGAGTACGAATATTTGGAAAAAACCGTGGAGGAGCAGGAAGATCCGAAGAAGAAGAAGAAAGACGGAGGAGGATCTGGAGAAAAGAGCGAGAGAAGCTACAGGAAGAGAGATGGGGAGAGAGAGGAAGATGAAGATGAAGGCAAGAGCAGCAGCAAGAAATCGAGAGGCGGCCGCGATGAGGACGACGAGGAGAGGCGAGATCGGGATAAGGATCGGCATAGAAGCAGCCGCGACAGAGAAAGGGAAAGGGAGAGAGAGAGGGATAGAGATAGGGATTTAGACAGGAGGAGTGGTAGAGAGACGGAAAAGGAAAGGGAGAGGGAGAGGAGAGATAGGGATAAGGAGAAAGAGAGGGATAGGGAGAGAAGAGAGAGGGAAAAGGAAAGAGAGAGGAGGGAAAGGGAGAAGGAGAAGGAAAGAGAGAGAGAGAGGAGAGAGAGAAGCAGTAGTCGGTCGAGGAGACACGAGAGTGATCGCGAGCGAGAGAGGGAGCGGGAGAGAGAACGCGAAGTCGTCGATATCAGGGATAGCAGGTATCTTTTTATCTTCTTATTTTTAATTTTATATGTAAATTATATGTGCAAATTGAAATTTCGAGTGCCAATGTGGAAGTTTTGGAATGTTTATGCCGATTGTAGAGGTGACTGAAGGAGTGCTAAGTTCAAGCAAATATAAATTTGCATTGTGTTTTTGTAATCCAATGTGTGTTCTTTCACATTATACTAGTGATAGGTGGCTCAGTGTTAGAAAAAGAGCCTGAAATGCATGCTTATGCAAAGGGAGGTAGCTCCCTTCCATAATACCTGTCCGCACCTCCCCACGGTTTGAAGTTCTAATTGTTGGGTTGTCCCCTTTGGGATGAAGTTGATGCTTTTTTCTTTTTTTTTTTGTATGTTTTCATCCGTTTGAGTAATTGTGTGGTGAAAAAAGGGGTGAGGGGGTTTTTTAATTGTATTGATCCTTTACAGTTATAGAACTATTGTACCACTTGGATGGGCATTTTTGATATGATGTGGATGGCGTGCTAGTGTGAATTTTTACACACCTGTTATTTTTAGAGCTTGGTTTTGTTGATATTTTGACGTTTAAAGTTGTTTATCTGAATTTTCTAACGAATATGGACGCTGCAGGAGATTCAAAGAGAAGAAAGAAGTAGTGGAGCCAGAAGCTGATCCTGAGAGGGACCAGAGAACTGTTTTTGCTTACCAGGTAGACCAGATTGCACTTTCTGCTTTCATTTTTGAAGGATTATTAGGCATAAATGTCATACTTATGTTTGTATAAACATGCTTTTTTTCATTTGCACTAATTATTAATTACTTTTCACCTTGAATTGGTTGATGACAGATGCCACTGAAAGCAACTGAGAGAGATGTCTATGAATTCTTCTCAAAGGCAGGGAAGGTTAGTCAGGTTTCTCTTGGTTTTGCCATTTCTTGTTTGAAGGTTCTGTTATAATTTGTCCAGCATGGCTTTCAAGTATGCCAGGGTTCTGCATTAATTGGTTTGGGAAAATTTAATGGGATGATTTTGAAAATTTGAGTGTACACTTGGAATACTAGGTTTATTTCATTAAAACCCTCATTATTGAGATTTCTAGTATGTAGTAATCTCATTTTGTATATTATGCAATATTTCTTCAAATTCATTAATGTCTTCATACATATCTGATAATAACTATAAGTTGATGCATGAAAGACTGTTTAGAATGATGTGAAAGCATATTATTGAGATACATCTGCTTCCTCTTGCAGTATAAGCTCCTCTGCCTTCAGTTACGAGTATTATTATGAGTTTCTTGTGTCTCAACATACTATATATGTGGGGTGAGTTAAAAGCACGTGTTAAACAATATAATCTTGCTGACACCCCTTGATAGGTGTTTGATCATGAAGCTTGGAAGTCTAGAATCCTCCTATATTTAATTTTCAGAGGTTATTATGTTCTGTTACATCTCATATTTTTTCCTTTTATCATTTTCAGGTGAGGGATGTCCGTCTGATCATGGATAGGAATTCAAGACGATCAAAGGGAGTTGGGTATGTGCCTCTATGTTGAGCAAACTTATTCTTTCATTTACAGTTTTGTGAATGAGTATTAGCATCTTTGCTTTCAAGAATCAAGTTTAACTGTATTCTTAAATGCACTAGCAATGCGATAATGATGAGGGATGATGGGAATAGCACTCATGTTTAATCAATTCATGCTGCGTTCACAAGGTAGATGACATAAACCTAAATTTTTTTTTCTACCACCTCTTTTCTGCTTTCATTTTTTTGCAGTAAAGGCAACTGATAAACATGGGTGCCTTACTCCGGTTCTTAACTGGTTAGTGGTTATGATAAGGGTTTAAAGATACTCTTTACTGTTTAAGGTAAAGGTGTTTTTTCCTAGTGACTTAACACTTGGTTAGGCCTTTTCTTTTTCTTGTAATTTATTTTTTTTCAATTTTTAGTTGTTGAGGCTCAAAAGGAGAGTTGGGATTTTTCTTGGTTCTTCATCTTTGACTTTTGGTAGTTTTCAGGGTTTATTCTGATATTCTTAGTTTCATGACTATAATCTAAGCGTTTAGGTGGTGCCTTCCTCGTTTTTTGTTGTTTTTTAATATTGAACAGGACAGGCTACTCCCTTAACCTCCATTTCTTAGCCCTTTTGTGATGTATGATAGCTATTCTGCTTTCCTAATCTTCTTATGCTGATCTAACTTTTTTTTATCACATGAGACATCAGATTCAACAAAAGATACTCAGCATGAGCTCTCTGCACTAGAGTTTTTGTTTCCCTACTTCTCTTTGCTATATGCTTTGTAAGTTTTGATTGTAATCTTTTTTGCCTCATATTTTCGGAGAACCTAATTACCAGTCACTAATTAATTTGCAGGTATATTGAGTTTTATGATGTGATGTCTGTGCCAATGGCAATAGCATTGTCTGGTCAACTGCTCCTTGGTCAACCTGTGATGGTTAAACCTTCAGAGGCTGAAAAGAATCTTGTTCAGTCAAATACTTCTGGTGCAGGCTCAGGTGGTGTTGCTGGACCATATGGAGCGGTTGATAGAAAATTGTATGTGGGGAACTTGCACTTCAATATGACAGAAATGCAGCTTAGACAGGTAATATGACCATTAGCTCATCAGCAGAGTTAGAAGTTACCATGTTTTGATTTGGTTTTTGAATTACTGGTGACTATTTGTCCTTTGATGCTTTTTAAACTTGCTCTTTAATTGTTGATTGGTTGTTAACTTGTTAAAAGAAAATTGTGCATGGAGCACATTCTAATAGTAGTTGCTTAGGAACTAGTCTGCAAATAGTTTTATGAATTTGCTTGAGATTTTTTTTCTTTATCCTTTTTCCTCTATTGACATTTGTTATTATCATTGTTATTATTTAAAGGTTCATGATATTCATTTTAAATCTTTTTCCCCTATTGACATTATCCAGTTTTGTTGTTATCATTGTTATTCATTTCAAACCCTTTTCTCAACTATATGTTAATGGCTCAGATATTTGAACCTTTTGGTCCCGTGGAGCTTGTGCAACTACCACTTGACCTAGAGACTGGGCAGTGCAAAGGTTTTGGGTTTGTTCAGGTTAGTTATAACTAAAGACTTTGTAATGTTTATTTTCTTGTATGATGTAAATATGTATGTACTTGTTTGTTGTTTGTTCTTTACAGTTTGCTCAACTTGAGCATGCAAAAGCTGCTCAAAGTGCATTGAATGGAAAACTTGAGATTGCTGGTCGAACCATTAAGGTAGGCTTGTTAATTTCATGTGCTTGTAGCATTATGTGATTATAGCAGTGTAATTTCTGTGTCAGTTTTGTATGTTTGTTCTTCTTTGACAGTAACTGGCTTGTTGTCTTCCAAATTAACATCTTTGTGGTTAAATTTGCATATAGGTTTCATCTGTGACAGATCATGTTGGTACCCAAGATACTGCAGCAAAATCTGCTGACTTTGATGATGATGAGGGTGGTGGGTTGGTGAGTTGAAAAGCATATTAACATATTAGTATTTAATGAATATTGGTTTTGTAGTCAGTTTGTCACATTTTAATAGTAGTTGCTTAGGAAATGATTTTTTTTTTTGTTTCTTGCTCTTCTTCTCTCTGCTTAATTGGCTCTTGAATTTTTTATCCAGGCTTTAAATGCTCAGTCAAGAGCATTGCTTATGCAGAAACTGGATCGCTCTGGTATTGCGACAAGGTTGGTTTGTACTTTCAAATAGTCCTTTACAGTTTAGTCATATCATATATCTAATGTTTTAACTTTGCAGCATTACGGGCTCACTTGGAGTACCCCTTCTTAATGGGTCAGCTCCTAATCCACAGGCTGTTACCTTGCCTGTCAATGGCCAAGCTGCATATCCAGCACCAATTCTACCTCCAATCATGTCTACTACAGCCATTGATCCTATCGGACAGCCCAGTGAGTGTTTGCTGTTGAAGAATATGTTTGATCCTGCTACTGAGGTTTGAAATTTTCTTGTTCTTAACTTGCTATTCACTTGTTATTTTTTATCTGCTTTCTTTTTTGCTTCCTTGTACATAGTAGTAAATTTCTGTAACTTCTGTGGCAGACGGAACCAGATTTTGATTTGGAAATTAAAGAGGATGTTGAAGAAGAATGCAGCAAATATGGCCGGGTGAAGCATATATATGTGGACAAGTAAGCATTACACTTTCTATTGCACTTGGATAAGATAAGTTTTACAGTCATTTCATTTTTGTAGTTGGCCCCATCAATATGCTGTTCAAATGCGGATAAGTAAATTTATAGCCATTTTTATTGTTAATTATCTATTAGAATAAACAGCAAATGGTTCATCTAAGTTGAAAAATGGGAAAGTTCTGTCAGTTTAGTGCTTGGTTTGCTTTATTTGATAACTCTGTTAAATTATAAACCAGTAATTGAAGATGTATTTTTTGATGGTCTGTAGTTGGGAGGAAATATTGAGTCTAATGACACATCCATCCTCTTCCTTTGTCCATTGCAGTCATTTGCTCCTTTAGATTGCTTGACTTTGCATTAGAATATTCCTAATTACCATATTACCTGTGTTTCACTGTAATAATGTTTGAGAAGACTATGAATGGATCTTGATACTGAAATCTGTATCCTTCAATCAGTTGCTCTATAGACTGGAAATATAGGGCTATAAAATGCAAAGGATGCGCACATATTTTAGGTCTATTAATCTGTTTGTATTGTTTTAAGAATCTATTTAGAAATACATGTGCAAGTGTATGGCGATTATGCATGTTGTGTATCTGGTGGTATTTGACCTTTCTTGGCTACAAGGTAGGAATTCACATACTTTTGGTGGTCATTTCAGAATGCTCGGTTAGGTGCCAATCAATGACTAATGGCATTTTTTTATATTGTAAAGCTTTTGTAGGCTTTAATAATTTTAACTTGTCAGATTTCCTAATTCAATTTATGTCAACAATTGAAAATTGTAATGAACTTTTATGAGGAAAGAAGTATTTGCTTTGCCTTTTCCTGACTGCAGCTTAATGCTAAGTGTGTTTCTGTATAACACCTTCTCATCTTTTATACAGAAACAGTGCCGGTTGCGTGTATCTTCGATTTGACTCTGCAGAAGCAGCGGGCAAAGCTCAACGTGCAATGCACATGAGATGGTTTGCAGGCCGATCAATATCAGCCTTTTTTATGGTAAAAATGTTTTTCCAACCTAACTCTGGCTTGTGTATGGCCCTTTCTCTCTGTCTAAGTTGTTTTAGTGCACATAAAGCCCCTATAAAAGTTATATGAAGATCTGTCTCTAGTCAATTTTCTAAGTTCATTATCCTGGTGTTTAAAGAATTTCTTTCTGCAAATTCATCTGGGAATTTGACCTCCTTAGGTAGGCTGTGCAGGCTTTTGCCAAAGTTGTTCAGATAGAACTACAACTGTTCTATATGCTGATACCTAGAATCGTGTAAACAGACATGAAAACATAATGTAACTCATGTTTCTGTATCAACCTTCAAACATTCCTGTGCAACCAAATATCTTCAACTTTCATTTTCAGTCTATAATTGCTTTCCACTTTCATGGTCTTCTTAACCTTTACTAGAGTTGGAATGGACCTTAGTTTCTTAATTATCATTGAAGCTTCATCAGCTGAAACTAGCTGATACTATCACTTAAAAGCTGTATGTGTCTTTAGGGATGATTAAGGACGCAGTGCAGGAGTTATTACTATTTCCTGTTAGTGTGATTCGCTCTAGTATGTTTTCTGGTGTCTTCTGGTCTAGGGGTGACTGATGCTCTGTTTTAGTTGAGTAATTTTGTAATTTATATTATAAATTAACATTTCTTGAAACTTTTGCAGCAACCACACGAGTATGAAGCAAGGTTCAATGGTTGAACAGCTTTCAGTGTTTCAGTTGCAGGATTGAATTAGGATATTTTTCAATGTGGATGTTTCTGATGTCTAGAGGGTAGGTTTATTTCTGAACTCGTTTTGTCCTGAGTTTAGAATTTTATATTCATACAAGATATCTAAATATAAGATAATATATTTCTTTAACTTTTATTGCTTCTGTAATATGCGTAATGAGTCTGCCTTGTAATTGGTGCCATCCAAAAAATATTCATTTAAGATCACCTCTCTGCTTGTTGGTACGGTTGTTCCTTATCAAATTCATCTTTGGGTTTATAGCTTGCTCGTTGGGCAAGTTTATGGACAAGGAAACATAATAATTTGAGAGTAATCATTCTTTTAAAAAAATTTAAACTGATTTTCCTCGTAAATGATAAAACAAAAAAAAAAAGAGTTAATCTGTTATACAAGTATTTTCTGAAGTGTGTTTTTTAATGATTTTCTGAGATACAAGAAGAATTTCAAATTAAGATCCCAATTGAACTAGAAAACGATAGATTTAGTACGTTTTACATTTATGATTCTGAACTAAGAACTAAAATTAATATTAAACAAGTCAAGATATATGTAGTTAGATTGTGATTCTGAACTAAGAACTAAAATTAATATTAAACAAGTCAAGATATATGTAGTTAGATTGTACCGTTAACAATTATTAATTTTGGTTTAATTAATAACTACTAGTTTTGTTTCAATCGTTTTTCTTTGTATCAACGCTGATGTTAATTAATACTGATGTCGAATTTTCATTGAAAATAAAAAAATTTGTTTTGGTCTTGGGCAGGTAAACTCCTTACCAGTGATGCCACGATGGCGCATCTTTTGTTTTTGAACAAAAAGGGCTATCCCTAATTTTTATATTTTCATCAAGTAGAAAACCCAAATGTGGTGCATCTATAAAATTGATGACAATATGTTAATAAAGTTGTCAAAAATAGATACAAACTAAAAAAATCAGACGCTCTGAAGATGGGTTCACCTTTTAAAGAAAGGGAGAGAGAAATTTAAGGAGATCTTTAAGGAAGAAACAATAAGAAAATTTAGAAAAACTAAATATAAACATGTTTCATATGTATATTATCCCATCTTTATTTCAAAGAATGCTGATAATTTAATTGTTTTTTTTTTCTTTTCAGAAAAATTAGACATTAATTCAAGTACTCGATCAATTTTCTTTGAACAGGAAATTAATCTGAGTACTTGAAAATTTTGAAACATTTTTTTGAGAAAGATTTTTGTATTTTAATTGTTAAATAGAAAAACAAATGGAGAAAAGCATGGTTGTAAGCTTGTGTTTGTGTATAATGATACTGTTGAACGTGGTTGAAGAAGCAAAGGCACAAACAACAGGTCAAGCAACATGTTTGGACAAGTGTGGGTTAGAGCATTGTGATCGGCCTGGAAGTTTCGTATGTCAATTGGCCTGCCAATTCTTTTATGGTTGCCCTCCTCCTGATGACAGTCCTTTCGCCCCCAAGTACAATGATGCAGGTACTCCATCATTTCTTATTACTTGGGTTCTTTTTTGATCCCATTTTCGCTCTCACAGAGAACACAAGCTCTTGAAATCAGAATTAATTATAGGAAGCACATCTTATTTCCTTTGTCAAATTCATCTTTACATTCACATTTTGTTGTATGCAGTTGGAAAATACCTCGCTGACCATGAATTCTCTCCCACGCAACCATGGCCATCATCGTCAAGGAAGAATCTTAACAACTAGTTGCAATTACAAATGTAGTTTGTTAAAGGCAACTGATTCTTGTTTGATCCTCTTCTATCTGTAAACCTAATAGACGGAAACTGATTCATCAGTATCCAAGTAATAAAGATCACAAAAACACTTCATTTGGTCTCCCTTTCTCCATGTCTAGCTTAAACCAACTAATTTACGAATTTAATATAACGAAAATCCTTTTTACAAACATATTTGTGGAATATATTTTTCATCTTTGTATCACCTCACGCCAAATAAGACAAAACAATAATACCACTTGATGCACATACATCAAAGTTAATTTTTATTTGATTTTATATTTTATATGAAAATTGTTTTTCACTTATAAAAATAAAAAATATTATTAAAAATAACAATAAAAAATAATTTTTTTTTTATCATTCTTGTTCAGTATCCATAAATGTGGTTGTTCATGAGCAAGATGAACAATTGCGTATATAGTCAGAATATTATTCTTTGGGTTTTTTTTTTTAATATTTAAGAATTTTAAGCTCAAACTATATCTTGTACATTCTAAGTTCTACTATAAAAATTAATATTAATTTTTATTTTCGATATATGTGATATTGAGCTTCATAATTGGAGGTATCTCTCCCTGTGTCTTATAAATTTTAGCCCATTCATTTCAGCATTCGAATTCCAACTCTTCGAGAGATAATATCAATTTTTATTTTAAATAATAATAATAATAATAATAATTTATCACTACCTTACTCTCGAAGCCATGTTCAAATACAATGGGCTTAAAGCCTAAAAGAGTGGGGACTGAGGTGGATGGGCTGAGCTGGAGCAAGCGGGGCTAATCCATTTTGAAATGCGATGGGAGAGAGCGGTCCAATCGGCGGGAAGACCGCGACCACAGAGAACTGAATTTCGTTAACTTTTAACAAAATTGAAAATCCCAAGCTTCCATATTGCGCATTTTCTCATATTATAAAAACGAAACAAAAAGGAAAACTGTTGCACGCGACCCGAGCTTTTCGCCTGTGCCTTAAACTTCTTTATTACTGTTGTTATTCCCATTCAAACTTCAGATACACAGAGATTGGGTTGCAGTTGCTAAACCTCTTTGGCTTAATTTAAACAAAGAGTGTTTGGTTTCAGTTTCTGTTCCACTCTCTTGCTCTGCATATAACGGTAAATCCAACAACCCCCAAATGTTTTCGTTTTTGATTGGTTTGTTCTTGATGTTTTGTTCCTAAATTGGTTGGGGAAAACGGCGAAGGGGAAAAAAGTAGAACGAAAAGCAGATGGATAGGTACCAGAGGGTGGAGAAGCCCAAAGCAGAGACTCCCATCAACGAAAATGAAATTAGGATAACAACTCAGGGCAGAATGAGGAACTATATTACCTATGCCACCACTCTCCTCCAAGTAACTTGCTCTTTCTTTTCGCTCCTCGTATTTTACTTTGTTTCAACAAAAATATATTACTATGTAATGTAATTGTTGGGGTTAAATGCGTTCTGAAGAATGAGCAGATCTATGAAGCTGTAATTTTTGACAATTTATACGTTAGTGCACTTTTATGGTGGTATTTAGGTTATGAGAAACAAGAGTGGAGTAACGATATCGTAATAAAATGTGTTCCGGGACATCCTCAAACGGCCTATGTAGGATATTAATGGTGGACTCTGTTCCATTGAACGGGTTCTACTCGTGTGAGTTAACATATTTTCGGTCTGCCAATAGCAATGGGTTATTATTACAGGCTGAAGAGATCTTTCGAATTTTGATTAATGGAAATTTCATTTTGTTCTCCAATTCAAATAGTATGCTTTTGGAAGCTAATTCTGGTTATTCGGTAATATTGCAATTTTAAATTACTAGAAAAATATCTCCTTTGAAATTTGCCTTGTGGGGAGAAAGAAATTTGTTTTTAAAATTCTTGATAAAGCAAAGTTAAATCGTATTTGCTCTGGTCCTTTTTTTTTTTTTTTTGACTTTTGTGCTGGATTAGCCATGATATTTTGTTGACAGTTCTGCAAATTTTTTTCTCTATTCAATTTTATTGATGAATGCATTTTGTGTAGGAGAAAGGGTCCAGTGAGATTGTTCTTAAAGCAATGGGCAGAGCCATTAATAAGACTGTGATGATTGCAGAGCTGATCAAGGTATATTGAAGACGGTTCTCTCTCTCCTCTCAGACCCATGTGAACAAGTATATACGCATGTCCTTTTTTTTTTTTTTATCATTTATATTAAAGTTTGTGTTTTCAGAGGAGAATAGCTGATCTTCATCAGAATACCTCAATTGGATCAACTGATATAACAGACATGTGGGAACCACTAGAGGAAGGCCTCCTTCCGTATGAAACAGCAGACTTTTTTTATTCTACTAAGTTCCTGCGATGCCATGTTTTTAGAGCATAGAAATCAGGATGATTGGTTCTCTGTCTTATTACAGTCTGGAGACTACTCGTCATGTTTCAATGATCACCATTACATTATCGAAGAAGGAACTGGATACATCCTCCACGGGGTAAATAACTGAGAACTAAGTTTGTTTACATTTGAGACAAAAGTATTGTCTGGTCCCACTTATTTTTAATTGTTAGAATGTGATTGTCAAATTTCTTTCTTTGGATCTAGACATTTTAAGATGCACTTATGGTGACCGTTTGTCCTTTTTTACTTTCCTGAGGAATTGCCTCTTACTTTCCTTTTTTTATATGTAATATGGATTATCTTTATATTACTGAATTCCAATCTTTCATTGAGAAATATTTAATACTTTTGAGTTTCTGTTCTCTGGTTTTGAACTGTGATTCTTTAGGTCTGATCTATTTACTCCTAAAATGCAGATATCAACCTCCTCTTCCGGCTGATCAAGTGAAACCCGTAAATGAATTTGAAGACGATGTAGGTAAGCAATCTTTTGTTGATTTAACAAACCAGTACTTATCAAAAGAAGGTAAAAAAAAGAAGAGAATTATTAGTAATATCTAATATTTTGATGTTGTCTAATTTCAGAGGCTTCACCAAGGACACGAGGAAGGGGACGAAGTAGTCGAGGAAGGGTTAGGGGTAGAGGTATTTCTTGCTACTATAACATATAAGGTCTTCAATTTGAATATGTCCACTTTTCTTTTCTATTACTAATTATATTTAGAATCATTATCACAAAAGCAATTTCGTTGGCCCTAATGGTGCATCAAAATTCAGGGTCATCAAATTACATCTTTTTTGTGCGTAGTTGATGTGAAAAGCATGCATCTCCTTTACTTTTTCTTTGGCCATTATGTATCGTTTTATTTTGGTTTATTGTTGCATTGATCTTTGGTATATCTTTGCATCCATTCTTTGTAGTTTTGTTGACAATATGTGCACTTTCTAGAGCATTTAAATAATTAAAATAAAAAAAGGGGAAGAAAGAAACTCTCGTTTCCCTCCGTCTCTCTTTGAAACTGCAATGGAGGTTCCTCTTGTTAATTGCAGCACTTTTGAAGCCATCATGTTGTATCCTGTCGTATAACTTGATAAATATGCTCATTGGATGTGTTCTGCCTCTTTGATGGATACAGGAAATCATGGAGTTGGGGAATATAATGGTGATGGTTGGGATGGTGGGCGGGGTTTTGGCGGCAGAGGTCGAGGACGTGGAAGAGGTCGTTCTTTCCTAGGTCGAGGACGAGGCTATGGTGTTGGAGGATACTATGGCTATGGTGAGTCTGATGCACCTCATGTCCAAGGCCGTGGTAAGTTTGTGCTTTGAATCAGAGTTGGAAGTATGTTGTTTTTGTTCACTGCTATCTTGTTTTTGAATAGTGAGAAATGAATGTTTCACTTTTATACCTTGGAAGTGGTGCACATAATTTTAATGTTCAAGTTCATCTTTTAGCTAGGTTAACTAGCTTCTTTCCAGGCAATATGCCATTCAGCGCGTAATTTTGTATTATATGCTTATGCCAAATGGTTTTTTAATTAACATAGTTGCAATATTCAAGTACTTTGCTGTTTCTTTTGCATTATATATTTTTCTTTAGCATAGAACCATTGTCTTGGGGAAAACTATGCACCTTGCTGTAATTCATGTTTCAAAAGTTTCCTTTGCTGACATGTTAGTAAATGAGCAAATGATAAAGTTGGAATAATGAAGAGCATGCAATTCTCCCAAGCAAGAACCGGCTATCACAAAATGTCTACGAAGAGCAGACACCAAATACTTTGATTTTGATATGACATGCCATCCTTTTTTGACTATTATATGCGATGGGTTTATACTATATTGTGTTTGTGTTTGTTTGTTATACTTTTTCTAATGTTGTTGGCACTATATGATTTGCATTTTATCATGCTTGTTTGGCTGATCTTAGGTTTGTTAGTCATGGGAGCTAACATTTGCAAAAAAGTTTCAACTTTAACAGGGCGTGGTCGGGGCAGGGGAAGGAGCCGTGGGCGTGGTCGTTACTTTAGGTCAGATGGACCAGTCCAAGCAAACGCTGCTTGAGAAGCAGACATCTTGTAGTTGGTGTGGCACTGAACATGATATGTGGATGCCTGCTCTACTTGTGTCTTCATGAAGTTGACAATATTTAAGAGAGGAGTCGTTCATTTCAAGTAGTGGGAGTGTAGCAGCCATGGTGCTTGCAGTTTTGTCATTTTCTAATTGTGGTGTAGGAATGTTTTTTTCAGTGATTCTCTGACAAGTCTTTGTACAATTTTCACAACCTTTTTTTTTTATTCTTAATTTCAATACATCTGCATGCTAACGTGGTTCAGGATCCCATTTTTTTTTGTTCCCAGTTTTACCTCAACCTATTATACCTCAATTTTTCTGTATGGAACTTACATCTTGTATTTGAATCATGATTGTTTAGAAAATAAAATCTACTGGAATTTGAATTGAAAACAGCAAAATGGTTGGGAAGTGATGTGTGATTTGGAAGTATTATGAGGTTAATTAATTAGAAGCTATTTACCAGCGTAGTGAGCGCCTGTAGCTCAGTGGATAGAGCGTCTGTTTCCTAAGCAGAAAGTCGTAGGTTCGACCCCTATCTGGCGCGAAGGAATTGTTTTGTTTTAATGTTTTTCTTTTAATCTAGTACTGTTTTAACGTTTTTCTTTTAATCTAGTACCTTACTACTTATTGCTTAGTCTAGTGTAATCTAGTACTGTTTTAATGTTTTCTTTTAATTTAGTTTCTTAGTACCTCTTAGTGTTTAGTCTAGTGTAATTGATGGTTTTTTTGAGGTGCATGTAATCAATGGTTTAATCAAGTTAATCAAATTCAATTAGAAATGGATGTAATTGATGGTTTTTTTGAGGTACATGTAATCAATGGTTTAATCAAGTTAGTTTTCATCCATGATTGGCAAAATTAACTCATATAAGGCAACTAATTATCAATCAAATAAATAATAATAATAAACTAATTAAACCCAGTCAACATAAAATCAAATATGAGAGAGGGTTATCTTCTATCTTGTACGTGTCACAGATGAACACTCAAATGTATACATCAAATAACTTTGTAAATAAATCACAAAATAAATTTTGCTTCCACAAAACTATTTCTCAAAATTTACACATATATCTCCATTCAATATCTCTTAAAATATTTAACAATTAATATACATTTCATTGATTCCGATACATGTTGGAAGACAATAATTCTCCTTGCTTTTATGGTTTTGCCCATCTCATAATTTTATAAACAACTTTAAACTCAAAACTTTGAACTTTGTCAAAAAAATATTTTGAACTTGAAACCTTTAATCTGATATATATATATATATATATATCAAATTACACGGTGATTAGAATTGATTCTATTCATTTGTTTTTATAATATAAAAGTTTATTTGTTTAAAACTTTTATTCATTAATTATTTTTGGATAATGCAAATGGCAATACCAATTCAGAGAAATAAAAATTTAAAAATAAATTAAGAAAACAAAAACTTTATGTCTATACATGCATTTGGATCCAAATTTATGTAATATTTGCTTATTACTCTTTTTCACATATAGCCGAGCAGAACTCTACAAGGTTATCACTGATCACTAGTAAGTCGATTTGCATCATACCAATCCAGAAACACTGAAACCCGGTCAACTACTTTTGCTAATTAAGCCAATAGCTGATCTTAAATTTATTGCTAATAGCTATTGTAGAGATCGATGTTTTCAGTAAAATTCCAAAACTCACTCCTTTCTTCTCAGTTATAGCCAACTTTCATAAGATTATATATATATATATATATATATATGTCTCTTTCTTGTGGTTAAAAAGAATTTTCTAGCTATATGATGAAATAGGTGATAAATCAAAGAGAAGATTAATGACTAGAGAAAGTATGCCATGCTATCTGCTTATACAAGTATTTTCCTTATATTTTCACCCTCGTACCATAAATGGAAGTTCATAAAGAATTATTAAAGAAGGTTTGTCTAATCCTTGATAAATTTGTAACAGACCCAACACATAATTAATTGATGAAGGAGAGAAAGATCATATTTAAAGCAATATTTACAGCAAGACAAAGGATAAAATCAAGAGAAAGAAGCTTAGCTGAACCTGGAAACATAACATAGACTAGCTATTTTCTCATAGATCGTACAAGTATAGATTTGAAGTAGATTGACTTCTTAACTCAAAAGCAGACACCAATTTCTTTAATTTGTCTGAGAATGGAGAGTGTCAAATCGACGTACTTAGAAATATTGTTCAGGTTCATGAACTAGATCAGAAGTTAGAGAGAAAAAGAGATGATTTATCTGATGTACTGTTTCACACTTAGAAGCGTGCACCCCAGAGAAAGAAAAAGCTCCCTCTTTCATCCCTTATCTCAACCTTCAATGGTATTAAATGATTACTAGCAACATTAATGGAAAGAATCCCCCCAAATCAAAAGATTTCGTTTTCAAGATTTCCACATGCGATGCAAGTAACTAATTGCCTACAAGTTGATGTTGAACTAGGGAATGATAATTAATCCAAAGGCAAGCAAAGAATAGTGGGTGGATGTGCATGGCTGCCGAAAGGAAAAACCGCCATTGCCAAACTGTGCTCAACTTTCCTTCCCAATTATCTAAAGGTACCCTTTACTCAGGAACAAAATATATATATATCGACATTTTTCCAAATTCCAATCTCAGCCGGCCTGGAAAGCATTGACCAAATTAAATCGAGCTAGGGTCATCCAAAACTTAGTTCAAACGTAAAACAGAAAAATTATTAAAAATCAGTCGAAGCTTCGTGATCATGATTTATGACCCAAATCCAGAAGAAAACCATGATCAAGAAGCTTGATTCTACTCCCTAACAAGCCAGGCAAAAGAAACAAGTCTTCATTTTCATTTTCGCCCTACGAAAAAAGAGAAAATTACCACGACCTCTCTACAGAATTTGTACTAGATTTGATTAGTTGAATGATATTTCTAGAGAGAAACCCCATTAAGGTTTTCTTCAATACCATAAATTCATTCCGTAGCTAACCTTCATAGGCTTTGTCTCCTTGTAAATGCTGTCAAGAAACCGATACCGCCGCTTCTTAATTGGTCTCAAAACCTCTTCTTCTTTCCCAAAAATCTCTTCAATCTTTGCTGAAGTTATCTCATCTTGACTTTGTTCAAACAATCTCTTGCTCTTCTTTGCTTTAATAATCTTGTTGTTGTCACCATTGCTGCTGCTGTTGTTGCTGCTGCTGCTGTTGTTATCTTCATCGCTTAGTTGCATCAGCTGTTGAGCCGCTGCTGCCATGTCCGAGTCCGATATCAACAACAACCTTTGCAGCTTAACTAAAGAGTTTGATTCCGACATCGGAAATCGACAAAACAAGAGTTCTTGGTTAATCTCTTCTCTTCTCTTCTCTTCTTGCTGTTCCTTTTCTTCGTGGTTTGTGTTTGGTTTGTGAACGGTTTTTTGCTTTTATGGGGTTGGCGTAGAGCGCGTTTTGAGGGTACGTGTTGTATGAGTTCTAAAGGAAGAAAAAGAAAGCGCAGCGTTGTTGCTATGAAGTTGGCTAGAAGATGGGTAAAAACATATTTTATATATAAACCTTGATCCAATGCTTCTCATCCTATTTTAGTACACAACGCCAGAAAAAATGTCCTTCCTTCGATTGTTTGACTATTCCCACCCTTGACTCTCGTTTGGACTCCATTTCTCATGAAATACCCTCAAAACTTGTCCTTTGCTTCTTGTTACTTTGCTTGTAATCTTGGTCTTCTCAAATGAGGAAATTGGGAATGTTGAGATAGGACCCCCATTAAAATTTTGACCCATCATTTACAAGTAATTTTCAAGTTGTGTCTTGAGCCATCAGATGTTTGATTGTTCTAGATTGATTAACTTTTGATTGGGTTTAAACCTTTTGATAGAGAATTTGTCAAAGTTGTGGCATGATTTTTATTGGTGTTCATGTGTGTGAATGTAGCCTTTATTACTGTGGCTTATTGAATGGATCATGAGTCATTGAAAATGACAAATATGGTTTATAAGGTCAATTGAAGGAAATATTGACCCAACTTTTTCTAAAGGTGGCTTAAAATTCTTCTCTTTCTTAACAAGTTTTGCTATTTTTCTCTTCTTTTCTTTTTATAATTAATTTTCTTTAAAATTCATATGGAAAGATATAAGAAAAGTAGATATTCAATTTTAAGGGTTTAGGGTTTAGGGTTTTAAGAAAGATATTAATAATTAGGCCAAATCTAAATTGTTATTTTTTTAAATGAATTTTATATTTTGTGTGTAATAAGACTTGTACAATATGACCAATTCTTTTTTGGGTCTGAAGGGGAATCGAAGGATTGAGTCCGCAATATGAAAAAACAAGGGTGTACCGACTGAGACAATACCATGAAAGAAAAAGGAAAAGTGACATTTTAGTTTTTTAACTGAATTAAAATTATTCATAGTATAGCATCCCAAGGATTAATTATGTTTATGAGTTCATAAGTTTTTGTCTTAACAGCAAAAAGTTATCTCTAATACTAAATGTGACATGCCTAAGCTGTGTATATGCATAAGCGACCAAAATGTTGCAGTGCAACCAAGCTATACGGCAAACTTTGTAATTTCTATGTGCAATAATTCCAAATATTCATGTTTTAACCACCCTTTTTATTTAATCAAAGATGAACAATAATCCTCCTTTATTTTCCATTAAATGTTCAATTTGACTTCAAGTCAAAATTTTGAAAATCTAATGGTAGTAATAATCTTGACTTTTGCCCAAACTTTGTTAAAGATCGGTTTGTACAAAAACAACAAGAGAGATGATCATTTCAACATTTCTAAAAGAGTTAAAGATGATTTTTTTTTGTTCATGAAAGTAATGGATTTGAATTTTTTTTAACAGAAGAAAAAAATCATCATATATATATATATATATTATTAAAAATTTAAAATACCTATGTATTCTAGGGAAACATTAGGACGAATTTAACTCACTACTTAATAAGGTTGTGGCAAATCCTTGTACTTGAGTATAATCATGCACGATGAATATCATGTTTCCATAAGCGGTAGTAATTACATTAAATTTAAATCCTCCATTTCTGAAAATTAGGAATATATGGAAACTATCTTATCCGTTTAAGATTAGGTTAAAATGTATATTTATATCATCTAAGAAATATATATATATATATATATGTGAAGTAAATTGGATTTGTTTTTAATTAATATTTTACTCTATTAAGTTGTTAAACAATGAGCAACCCTTTATCCCCAGCAGACCAAAACTTGAAAGGAAAAATGAAATTT